AGATTATACATTTAGTTAAACTCTCAACAAAAATATCTACTGTGTGTACAGGTAAAGGAGAAAGGTGAACTTTTAATTATTTTTTTTTCTCTCAGAATGAATTCCTTTCTAAAATTGCATTGGAAATCTTAGTTACCAAACGGTTTACGGTGCAGAACGTTTGACTTCCTTTACTGGAGATAAACGTCTCTTTTAAGCGGGTCGTCAATGCGAAGATAGTCCCCATTTTTCCCCAAAAAGTGCCTTTGAGCAAAAAAGATTTTTTAACTTTTCTTTTTTAAATTCAAAATAATTCTGAGTCAGATTTTTCTGAGTTGGTAATAACGACCCCCCCCCCCCCTTCGGTCTACAGATTCGAGGTAAATTAATATTTTCTTATATTTTTATATCATGACTTATATGTTGCTAGAGCATTTCACACCAAGTTATTGAAAAAAAAAAAGTTTTGAGAAACCTCTTTTATCTAGAAATTATCAAAGGTACGATTTTCGGGACGCGTTTGATTGACACGAATCCCTGCACTTCCACGAAGTACACTATATCAATAATATTTAAGAAAAGTGGAAAATTTATTGTGTATTAAAAAGCAATATTAAAACTTTAAATCAGAAAGCTAGAAATGTGAGAAAGCAAATCCAACTCACTAGTATTGTCAGTCCATGCTCAGTGATGTGCGTAGCCTGAACGAATTGAACACACCCAGTAAAACGGTAAACATTAACAATAACAGAGCTCGGGCCCGGCTTTAAAATACAGATGTTTAACGTAATATCATGAAGAATTTCCACAAATGAATTTTGAGAATTTTAATTCGTGTAAGTTCAATTCATTAAACTGAAATTATTTCTGAACAAAAATAGAAATTTAAAATTGTAAACTAAACTGCAATATGCAGAAGTAATTTTGTCTCCTCATTCACATTGGCAAGCGTGATTTTGATTACATGACTTGCACAGTTTAAAGAGAGGGGGGAGGTAATGTGGGTAGACTTTATTTAAGGAAAAGCTTGATAAAGGTCGGGACTCGGGACCATAATTCCTGTAAAGGAAAAAAGGCGTCATATCAGGATCATAACTTCCAATTTTTTTTTCTATACGAGCTTAAGGTAGTACATAAAAGATAAGCCAAATTTTTCCTCAAATTCAATTTTGTTCAAACTTTGATATTTTGTTCTAGGATACAAAATCTCTCTTTAAATGTAATATGAAAAAAAAATTCAACCATTCATTTTTACCCACTTGCCCACATAGTTTGAAATATGGCCTATCAGACACCTGTAAGAAGATTCTGAAATCAGACAGCTGACCTAAGACTGTGCATTATGTAAAAATAACCAATTGATCTATTGCAAACTTGTGTGACGCTGTTTATAAAGGCAACATTTTGTACTAAAATTTAATAGAATGTTTTGACACCAGAATATTAGAGAAAAAGGGATGTAAAAATAGAGCTTTATAGCCCTGGAATTGAAAATTCACATGTAAATATGCCACATGTTAAGTCCTATATAAAGAAAATGTATAATCCATTTTTTTACAAAAAATCTACAGAATCATAGAAATGGAATCCGGATTAAAATATGTCAAAATGAAGAAATTTGAATTTCAGATATTTTGGCAATTTTAAATAAATCAAATGCCAAAAAACGTAAAGATTCTGTAGATGACGTCATTATATTTGACCTCATAATATGACCTTGACCTTTACTGTAAAAAAAGGATGGAGACTCCTTTTAAATATGTCCAAATATCAGGTTTCTACTATAAATGGATCAAAAGTTACTTTGCATTTTATAACAGACAGTCTGTCTGTTTGTTTTGATTGGTTGAAACTATGGCTTTCATATTTCACATATTTTGTATTTCTTGTGACAAGACCTTTCTTGGGGTACGTGCATATTTGACTTTTGACCTTGGAGCTTTTGCAAAATTTTCAAGTTGGCCTTTTTAACAAGTGGTGCTAGGGCTTTCATACTTCACATGTGTATTCTATGTGATAAGACATTTCCTTGGGTATAATTTTTTTTCTCCTTTTGACCTTGACTTTGGAGCTTGACCTACTTTTGAAAAACTTAAACCTTTTCAATAACTTTCGGACGGTCAGTACCAGGACTTTTATATTTCACAGGTGTATTCCTTATGACAATAGCTTTTCATTGGGTACCAACAGGTTTGACCCTTTGGCCTTTAACCTACTTTAAAAAAAAACTTTAACCTTGGCCAAATTTTTGGAAGAGTTTGTGCTAGGGCTTTTATATTTTACAGATATATTTCTTGAGACAAGACCTTTATTTGGGTAATAACATTTTTATCTCATGGTCTTGAATCAGGTGTTTGATTCACATTTGAGAAATAAACTGCCATGGGGTGCATCAGTATTTCACAAACATATCTTGTTCTTACATGCTGCTGTTACTTGCATGTAAAAAAAATAAGAAAGTTCGATTGTCCACGTTTTCAATTCTTTTATTTGTCTTTTATTTTTTTGTCCCCCGTTTTTACTGAAAGTGGGAGATATTAATTTGGGCCTGTCTGTCCGTCCATGCATCCGTCCGTCCGCCCGTCGGTATTTCTGTCTGTCTGTAACACTTTCGTTTCCGCGCGATTTCTCGAGAAGCTTTGAGCTTTTGCAATGAAATTTTATATCACACTTCCCTCTGGCCTAAAGAAGACTCGTATTGATTTTGAAGTCAAAACAACAAAGGTCAAGGTCATAAATTCATACATTCTTCCTATGTGTAATACTTCCGTTCTCGGGCGAAATCTCAAGAAAATTTTGAGCTTTTGCAATGAAATTTTATACCATGACTCCCTATGGCCCCGCCCTCCACCCTTAAAGTGTCCCATCCGTTTTTTTTTTTTTTGGGGGGGGGGGGGTGGGGGTGGGTGGGGGGGTTCAATTTTTTAAAAGTCAATTGGAAATTTGTTGGCATCGATCACGCTCACAGTTTTAGAGTTACTCCCCGTTTGTATTAAAATTCGCGTGACACTATTTTAGCACAGAAGCAGATGGAGAGTTATTACATAATATTTCCATTTCTATTTGTTTTCTCTGTGATAACTCTTTGAAAGTTGGTTGAGTTGATTTCTTGATCATTCTACCGGAATGTAAATTTCGCCAAGCGAAAGGTCAGGAGCTAAGAAGGCCTAATATGCATGCAATTCTCGTGCGGCTGTCTTTGTGTCTGACGCTAAGGAGGTCTAATATGCATGTAATTCTCTTGCGGCTGTCTTTGTGTTTGACGTCAGTGGGCGGGGACTATTGAAATTGACATGTGAGGCCTCATGTAATTTAAATCTATTAGTCTACATTTTTAAAATCTAAATTTACAATTTTATTTCACAATGAAATGGAAATATAAGGAATCACTGTCTGTTTAGTAGAGTATGCCAGGGACATCAACGATAGTTGGAAACGTGGGATAATTTATGCATAACGGGCTTCGCCCGTTATGCAAATTATCCCACGTTTCCAACTATCGTTGATGCCCTGGCATACTCTACTAACTAGACAGTGATTCCTTAATTATACAGGTCATCGGCGGACTTATATTCTATTATTATACCTCTACTGATTTTTCCCTATATAATCATTAGATCGTTAGATGTGACTAATTCCCTAGAAATCGTTATGAGTGGACTTATACCCGTGCGTTAGTGAAGTGAGCTAATCCCTGCTTCGAAAGCTAATTCCCGGTTATCCGTAATCCTCTAGATTTAACTTTTTACATTGGTATGATATGTGAATGGACTAATCCCCGTGTGTTAGTTCAGTGAGCTAATCCCTGCTTTGAAATCACGCTATCTGAATCCTCTAAATTTTACGTTTGTATCGGTATGATAAAACAGTTAAAAGTATATCACTGAAGGAGTTAGCAAGATTTCAGTTCCACTCGACAATGGCTACTTCCCTCGGCTTCGCCTCGGGAAATAGCCCTGGCCTTGGGGAACTGGAATCTTGCTAACTCCCTCGATCAATGATATACTTTAACTGTATAATAACACCTATTATAACTGTTTAGCAAAGACTAAATTAGACACCAAGTGTTATGTAAAATTTTGTCAATATCGAACGTGAATACATACAGTTATGTATATGTGACCTCCCGTTTGCATTTGCTTTGTATTACTTTCAAGCGCATCGTTGGTCTAGGGGTATGATTTTCGCTTTTGATGCGAGAGCTAGTCCCGGTTTCAAATCCCGGAGGATTCAGTATTTTTTTTCGATATATACTAAATGATAGTATTCAACATATGAAATGAACAAGTTATGATCTCTGGCATGTACAAACCTTCTCATAAAATCATTATTACAGTGTGAAAAATATCTTATATAAAAAGAATTCTCTGTACACATTTTAAAGAATATATGTATTATGCAATCAGGTCTTTGTATCCATATTGGCATTTTTTATTTGCTTCAGTATATACACTTAATAATTCTGCAAATCCAGGGGGAAGGGGGTACGACCTCCCCCCCCCCCCCCCCCTTCTTAGATCTGCGCATGTTCTTCCTTTTTTTTAAGCGGTGGACACAAATTTTCTGAATTTGTTGAAAACATACCCACTTTATGCTTGTGCCCCTTCCATATAATAACATTTGCTGACCCTTTTTTGCTTGTAAAGGAATTTTGGCTTGGTTGTGCCCCCCCCCCTCCCCAAAATATATGAAATTGCTAAATTGTTCAATTACCACTGAATTAAATTTTGAGGGAGAATCATTGTTACTTAAATGGGTTTGCCCTGACAGCTGTATTTGAAGGAAAATCCATGCTAGTTTTTTTTTTTTTTAAATATGCATTTTTTAATAGCTTTTCTATGATTATTCGTGAAGGAAGTTAATTTTGCGATCATTCCTGTCGTTATTCTTAAAATTATGCCAAAGGAATTCAAATTAATATAGTTGGAAAAAATGCATTCCACCTTTTTATTATGTGACATTATTAATACCAAAAAAAAGAAATTTAATTTTTTTTACAACGCAAAATGTTTTCTTCTTACTTGGTTTATTACAAGATTTGTTGTCGATGATGTAAATGTCATTGTGTGGATGGAGGCCTATACAGGATCTCACGATGTCAGGTCTCCCGTATCTCCAGAGCCATGTCACGTGATCTACACTGTCCTGTGATCTTCCTCTGTAATGGACAGCCTCCCGTCTTTCTCTTAGATCCATTAGAAATTCTTCGCGTTCATCTCTGTTGCTCTTTACGTTATGTTCTGGAATATTCACTGTAGAAAAAAGAAGAATATTGTCTAATAAACATTACACTTTAATACCTTTATACAAGTGGAGATACAACTAAAAATATGGATTTATTAAACACATTCGATCATGCAGTTATTTATATAACTATTATTCTTTTAAACAGTTTAACTTGTAGTATTAAATGAGATTAATGAAGAAAAAAAGATATATACCAAGAAATAAAATAAGAACTTAAAGTAAATGTTTCTACTTATAACTCCATCATTCTTCAAAATGTATAATACAATCATTAAACATTCATTCTGAAAGAAGGACAAGAATAAATTTAAATACAATTATTTTACATTGACTTACATATCTGGTATATCTCATCATATATATTCGTGTCCTCCATGATGACGTGAGTCAGTATGTTCATCTGTAGTCGGAGTATCAGTAAGGAATCACAGCCAAAATTACGTACACACTTCTCTCCAGGTTTTCTGTTGTATTCCCATGATCTCAGGTACACACGGGCTGTATCATAACTACTGTACCAGAATGGTATAATACTGTTTTTTGATTTTATCCTATACATTGTCTCATCCTTTGTGTCCTTGGTGATCTTGTCCTGATCTTCCCAAAGGTAATCACGTGACTTCAGTCTGTCCAGAGTCTGCTGTGCTTCCTCACTTGTTACAGGATTATATTTACGGTACACTAACTGCAGTATCTCATTAAGCATGTCCAGCCACTCTGTGTCGGTGAAGTCAGGAGGGCCGGAGTCAGAACACAGAAAACAGAATAACACGGACACCTCGTCATCAGTCAGTGTGGAGAACTTATCTACAAAATGTATCGAGTTATAACTTATATAGTAACTCTGCATATAAGTTATTAAAATAGTTAAAAATACATTACATTCATTGTCATTACAATGGTAATTTTTTTTACTGTTCCCGATTAATCATACTTATGAAAGCATCATTTTACAGTATAAAACCTTAAAATAAGAGAGTTTAATAACTATTGTGCAGACAAGGTAAAACTGTAAGGTGTTCCTTAGAACAAAAAAAAAAAAAAAAAAAGAAGAAGAAAAAGAAGAAAAAACTACACGATGTTTCATGTCTTTGTCTAAAGTTTATCTTATAATCAAAAAATTTCATTCCACCATTATCTCATGTCTTTGTTTTAGATATGGATTTGTTTAATCCATATGAATAAATTAAAATGGCTTTTAAAAGTTCCCAAATATCAAAAGACAACGAATTACATCGAAATATTAGACTGAATGATGAACTAAATGTTCTGAATAACACAGATTTCATGCATTTATATTTACCGTCTAAGCTATATATCGAAACCGGTTTTAATTAAATTACGATTTCCATCACATAACGCACCGAATGCTTTTTTTTGGGGGAGGAGGGGGGTTTAAGGGGGGTACTTAATAGGATAGGGGGCAGTGCAAACTTTTTGAGACTTGACTTGACTTTCAACTGCTAAAGGTTACAAACACTAAATGGATTTGACTGAAGATGCTATAATTTTTCTCTTGGGTACGTAGGATAAACAAACATGTAAAAATAAAAAAAAATGTACGTTATAATTTCTTTTAAAAAGTACATGTACCTACCAGATAGCTTTGTCTTCCATAGAAAGTAATCTCCCAAATAAAAGGCTTCGTAATCTAAAAGAAGGAAAGACATAATGCTTGTCAGAATATTTAAAACAAACATCAATTAGACAATTTTAATAGCCCTATTACCATTTTGTGATACATGTATATATTTTTAAGATAAATATTTATCAATCGTTATCACAGGACAATCTCAGCATACACACAATGCTTTACAGAAATAACTATGTTGGTTAAGCTAAGGTTCTCTATCTCAGTGCATGTAATAAGTTAATAACCTAGTTCATTTTAAAACCATAAAGATAAATATATACTGCAACAGATTGGGAAAAAGACATCTTCAGACATAATTTTTCAGAGGTTTGAGCTTGTAGACAGGACAGCCCAACCCATACCCATTTCCTGGATACATTTTTTATTTTCGGGGGGGGGGGGGGGGGGGGGACGTACACTGTTTTACGTGTGAAGACAACAATAAATTAGAATAAACATTTGTATTAAAGATAAAGAGAAGATATGTTTACTACTTGCTTACACTAGACCGGGACATTGTGCCTAAAAACAAATAATGTACCTACATGTACCTTTGCTTTATGTCACCATAATACAAAATCATAGATATGAGCAGTTCCGGAAGGGGGGGGGGGGCTTGTAACCCCCCCCCCCCCAATACAACTCTGAAAATTATTGACAAGCAAAAACAAAAAAAGACCGATCCAAACCATTAGATGTAATTAGTGTAGTCGGCCGGGGGTGGGGGGAAGATTCTTTTTTAGGGAGGGTCCACATCATTTAAAACAAACAGTCCAATCTGAAATTTTTGAGAAACTGAAAGTCTATCCATACCTTTAAAAATCATATTTTGGCCGGGGGGGGGGGGGGGGGGAGGTTGTGTTTGAGCATATTCCATTCACTTTTCACTTCCTAAACTTCATATATGACTCTTCCGACCAACTTAACAGGGATTCGCGTTCTCCGGCGTGAGGAGAAGGGGCAAAAGCAGTTCTTCAGTTAGTTTACTATGTACATACATAATACCGCAAATTCAAGGAGTATATGTGTGTGTGTGTAGGGGGGGGGGTGTTAGAACCCCCTTCCCCTCTACCCGACTCACCTCTAGATCCGCGCATAGAGGAGTTGAGCTAGTCATTTTCTTTCACATAAATAATTTACATCCCTTACAATTTTTCCAGGGATCCAGGTTTTGTAATGGGTCCAAGGTAATCTTTTCTTACTTAACTATATATGTTTAAAAACTTTGAAAATTACGGATTTCACATTCCAAAAATGAGACACAACATACATCCTTAATTCATTGAGTATATATATATATATATATATATATATATATATTTATATATATATATATATATATATATATATAGATAGATAGATAGATAGATAGATAGATAGATAGATATCTGTTCCTCACACAGATGTATTTATATAAGTAAGGAAACGCAAGCTAGTGAGACGTAATATAGTGCATCTTTGCATCTGCATCTTAATATTGAGAATTAAACACAATTAAGTTATTTTCAGGAAGCATTAGGATCACTTAAGGAAAAAAATAGAGTTTTTTTTTTTTAATTAACGAGACACATTAGAAATGCAGCGAACAGTATACGGAGAAGGAGGGAAGCAGGGCTTGAAAAAAGCTCTACTTATTTTTTTTTAACAAGATGATTGCAGCACAAAAGGTGTCATTTTCCGCATGTTGATTCCAAGTAATTCGTGCATACATACATTCACTCCAAAAAAAAAAAAAAAAAAAAAAAAAAAAAAAAAAAAAAAAAAAAATATATATATATATATATATATATATATATATATATATATATATATATATATATATATATATATTATATATATACTAGACTTTGACCCGTGCGTGAAAGGGTTGACATTGTTATGGATGCATCCATGTGCATGTTGGACATTTACTAAATAGATACATTGACACATTCATATTGTAAGGTACTTTTGAAATAAACAATGAATGTGAATATAATTCTTTTTTTTTTTTTTTTTTTTTTTTTTTTTTTTTGCAAAATTGTTGCGTAACGGCGTAGCGCAGAATGGTTTTGATCCCCAGTTAGCTATAAATCAAGTCATGAGTTCGAATCACGCCGGAGCTTACATGAATTTCACCTTTCCAAACAAATTTAATAAAAGAAATTATGATATTTATTGAAAATATGACAACAACAAAGAGTTGAGCACTGCTGATACATATCAAGCAAAGTAATGAAAATAAAGAAATGTGCTAAGCTGGTATTTTTACACAATCAGTTATTAAACTAAAGGTGTAAAACAATTTTATAACAATTTTAACACTGCAGGTCTCAACTTCTCAACTTGTTCAAAATATGACCTCAACAATAAAAGAGTTAAGCACTGCTAATACATATACTTTATACTATGTACACGGGTGTTGCTAAAACGCGGAACGGAAAACGGAACGGAAAGCGGAACGGAACGGAAAACGGAAAATATGATACCAGTTTAAAGCCCTTGAAAAATACAAATTATACCAAAAACGATATAAATTATATGTGTTGTTCATATTTAACCTTGATTATCAAGAAAGAGTTGATCTCTTCATGGATACCGGTATTCTCATATGAAGTTTCCAGTACAAAAACAAAGCATAGGGTACGGAAAACATACAATATATACACGTGGTATATATAAAACGTTGTGGTGAGATATGAGTGAATTAACTTTATAAAAGACCACTCTGATCAACATGAATAGCCAGTATTCGATATTTATATGTGCGAACACAACATAATTTTCGATGCACAGGCACCTAAAGCGCGAATAACCATGATATCGTACAACTCTGCATCCCCACCCACCCCCATCCCCCGTATTTGGCCAAATTGTAAAACTGGAAAACAGCACTGACCGATTGCACAGAATAACATAAAAATTGCTATGATGGAGAAATCACACATCGTAATTTATATATTATTTGGTAGGGAGGGGGATGATGCATAGATGTAGCCTACGTTGTCCTCGCTTCAAGTGCCTGAGGGTGGATAGCGTGGATTCAGGATATTTTTAGGGATGGGTGGGTTAATGTGTACTTTTCCCATCAACTTCACAGGGGTCCGTGATTTTTTTTGGAGGGGGGGGGGGAAGGTCATTTTTATTAATAAATATTTACTTTACAATGTATAAGTAATAACTCCGCAAATTTCAGGGAGTCCGAACCCCATCCCGAACGCACTCTAGATCCGCACATGCCTGTAGCTTTAATAAGCATGTCTTCTATTCTTTCCTTAATGTCAGTGATCGTTGTCTGGAACACAAATGTGTACATAATTATTCTCTTTCTCTGCCAACCCCCCCCCCCTTCCCTGTTTTAAAACATTGCCTGTTTCATAATAAATGATAAAAAAAGAAGAGTTTTGTCTTTGGTGAATAAGCTTTAAAAATTAGATTTGGACAAGTGATGAATGAGTATTAGATAGATACTTGGGCTGTGTGTCTAATTAGTATGTATTTCATTGACCACCGCATGTAGTTCTTGGGGGGGGGGGGGGGGGGGGGGAGTCATGAATAAATTACATTGTTATGTTATTTTTTTAATGAAATATAAACTATATGATAAAAAATACTGGTTCCTGTCTGATCTATATATGCTTGAAGTAAATAATTTGATATAAGATTTTCCGTTTTCCGTTCCGTTTTCCGTTCCGCGTTTTAGCAACACCCTATATACACAGGTAATAGACATGTGTATAATCTGTAAAAGCAGAGATGAAAATGGACAGATGTGTTATACTGGTATTTTTACACAATTTAGCAGATGTGAAGCAGAACAGATTATCTTGCAAATGCCCGCCTCCCCCCCCCCCCCCCCCCCAAAAAAAAAACATACTGGTTGTTCAAGAGATCATAATAAAAATTAAGAATATCAAATGTACTAAGTCTTTATATATGATATAAGAAAATGCTCTCATATCTGTCTGTTTCGATGAAAATTAATAAACACAAAGGCATACATAAAAGACGGGAGGTAGTGTTGTTGACAACATGGCTATAGGATTTGACTGGTTATACCTGGGCCCCAGGTAACTCAGGGGGTGTTCAACGTATTGTTGACAGACCAGGGTCAGAGGTCATTTCATGTATTTACATAACAAAGCTATAAGCCTACAATAATGCTATTAATTTCAATACGCTCTCCTAAGAAATATAATGTGAATTTTTTGCATGGAATCAAATATTTCTTTGCCCTTAGTTTATGTTTCATATTTACCGCGTTATTAATCTCAGCAGTGAAGGTAATAGTAAACATGGCGAACAAATTCAAGTTGCAATCATTTAGACGGATTTCAAATTGAAAACATCGGTTATATTGACGTTATTTTATTATTTCGATTTATTTCAAAGTTAAGAAATGAAAAAATAATGTTATTGTAATTTTTGGCAGAAAAAGAATGCCTACTTCACTAAGATGTGATTCTAGCTGGATTTGTAACACCCCCCCCCTCCTTTCCCCTAAAAAAGCATAGAAGAAAGGAAGGATAAAATAAAATCGGGTAGTTACATTAATATTGCTCCTACGATCATGAGCTTTTTGCCTCCGTTGAGATGGCCAGAGACATAAATAACATACATGTATAATAAATGTGTCTCCGAGATGGCGAATGATTACCCACGTAGATAAACTCAGAAACGATAATACAAATACATGTACGTGTAAATTTCATTGGAAATTTGCAATATATTCTGTTCATATATATTTATGATTTCTTATTAGAGAAATTATAAAATAACAAATATACATCTACTTAGTAGTTACTTTTGTCTTCTCTGATTTGAACACCGTGATTTAGCGTGAATGTAATACGCAAGATTGTAAAATCCAAAAAATCCATATGATTTCCGGAATTTTTTGAGGAATTTTCGTTGATTAATAATTAACGAAGCTTAATTGAGAAAAAATAAAAACAAATTGGTAATCTTCAAGTGCCAATGATGTTTAAAATATATAAAACAAAAGACAGTACTCTTCCGATTTATCGGTATTAAAGGCCAAAAATTCGAGTCTATAATTTTAATATAGTAGTGTAATGGTTATTGGAAACTGAAAACGCAAAGATGACCCAGATGTAAGGTTAGAATGGAATAACCTGTCCTCCCTTAAGCTTAAAGTAGACTAGTCCAAAGGTATAAATAAGACTGCATTGAGAGATTCAGAGTCTTTTTGGGGAATGCAGAGCTGCAGTTAAGTAGAAGCAGGAGAAATATTTGGGTAAGAATAACGGATAAGAGAAAAGGAAAATAAAAGAAATAGATTTGCACCAGTGATAAGAATCTCGGGGAATTGAGGCGAGATACTGGGGGCTGTAGATCTGTATAAGAACGAAACTCCTAGTATCCGC